ACCTTTTTTCCCCCAAAAATTTGGGGGTGACCAGTGCGACAGTTAGGGTGAGATGGGGGAGGGTTTCAGACTTGCACTACGAGGGAAGGGGGTGGGGGTCTATAAATCGAAAAAAGAAAAAAAAACATCATGTAGGTCCTAAACTGCCCCATAAAAAAGGTCCTTTCTCATACTTACTTTGAAAGTACGGTCCAAGTAGGGTCCCGACGAAACACGATTGACAAATGATACGACACGAGAAGCGGAAAGTGAGGTTAGGTTACGAGGAGCTCGCGACCTGCTCACGATGCGACGCTCACGAAACACGAGTGGCGTCCGGGCGGGCGGGCGCGCGGCGCGAACTTGAGGAGCGCGGGCACGCGCCGTGGACCCGATGACGAGCGAGCGAGTGAATCATTCATTAGTGAATCGTGCTCGACAATTAATGCAACGAGAATTATACGGCCGCGCGCGCCTTTGCCCGGTATCGGCCTCGCTTTCCGAGAGCCCGGATGATGCGACCAGACGCGACGACGACGACGTCCGATGCGCCCGCGGTTCCGGAGTCGGGGCACCGGGGGTCAATTGGACCACCCTCGCCCGCCCCTCTCGCCCACTCTCATCTGAGTCTCCTTCTCCTTGACGTAATTCTGAGTGTGACGTGCATAGGACCGATGAGGGGGCTTGCTCCTTGAGAGTAAGAACGAATATTATGAGAGTCCTCGTAAGAAAGGAATGGAGTGACAGGAACGAGAGGAGGTGGGATACACAGAGAAAAAAACTTCGTGCACGGGACCTGAAGTTGAGGTCATATGGATCTCTGAAGTTTTCGGATCACGCATCCAAAAACTTGAGGTGCAACTGCCGAAGTTCGGGTCAGACATCTGAAGTACTTAGGTATGTACCGGATACTTCAGATGTGTGACCCAAACCCTTCGGTATGTACCTAAGTACTTCAGATGTCTGACCTGAACTTCGGCAGCTGGACCTTCGGATGCGAGATCCGAAAACTTCAAAGATCCATACGACCTTAACTTCGGGTCCCATGCACGAAGTTTTTTTCTCCGTGTAAAAGGGGGTGGGACAGAGAGGGGTGGGGGTAATGGGAGTTGGTTAGAGGAGGGGGGGATAGAGGGGAATAGGGGCAATGGGAGTGGGTTAGNTAGGGGGGTAGGGGAAATGGGGATGGGGTAGAGGGGTATAGGACGGAGGGATAGGGTGGGGAGGAGAAATAGGGTGGAGGGGTAGAGTGGGGAGGGGGAAGAGGAGGAATTTACCAGAAATCTCCCCAAAGGAAAAAAGGGAGCAAAGGAACCCGGAAAAAAGAGGAAGGGGTTTAGATCCGACTTGGACATTTTCAATTGATTGTATGGTAGTGCCCCGATTTTTTCTAACCGAAATGTTGCGGTTCTACCCTAACTTGAGTGACGGTATACCGACAAAATTGATTGAAAATGTCCATATCATCCGAGAAATTGGGGTAGTACACAATTTTAGGGGCTAATCCCTGATACTTTTTTTCCGTGAGGAAGCGAAGAATTCCCATGGGGGTCTATGAGAGCGATTCTCCGGGGGGATGTGCAAATCCCCTGAGACTCTGCCCCTTACGTTACCCTTGCCTTACGTTCTTTGGTGATTTAAGTCGGCCAAATTTAAAAACTTTGTGTGCAGAGTATATACGTCCCTATATCTGCACACCGCCAACAACAACGGCGTGGTGTTTTCTCCATGTCAGTAGAAGTGTGGAGTCGATTATACCTAATTCTACCCGTGAATAATAGCACTCGAGAAACCTGTTCGTGAACCCCCCCCCCCCCCCCCCNCCCCCCCCCCTCCCCGTCTCCCTCCTCACGTCTCCGCGAGATCTAATTACAAAATAGTAAAAATGGCCTAATTAATCATCCAGTCCTCATAATCACAAGCATCAAGTCTCAGGCAGTTGGCACCGAATAGTAGCCAAATCTCATGGAAAACGGAGTCATTCTATTAATGAATGGACGTATAGGATTTAAAACTGGTGATTATATTTCCTCTCGCAATTATTATAACAAGAAGATCTTACTTTTGTAATTCCTTTTCTGCGTTAACTATGACTTTAATCTAATTTACATTTCCTATTTTTCATTAAACGCACAGAATCTAATTCTACGTCCTTATTCTTTTGTGAATGATCTGATGCTTTATAGTCCTGGATACTTTGTAGCTGGATATGTCGTAACTACTATACTACTGCTACGGACCAATAAACATTACATTTTGCATTTGGTTCATTGAAATATCATTCAAATGGTAGTAAAGTCTTCGGAGGTAGTAAAATCATGAAAAACCGTTGCATCAGAGAATCCTCAAAAAAAGTCCTGTGACTTTTGATGTTGTGAATGTGAAGTTGAAGTGATAGTCTAATTAATTGATCGGGAGACTTTGTTGCAACAGGATCTTTGCAATCGGAATANGGGGGGGGGGGGGGGGGGACTTCCTCTCACGATAGAAGCGTTTGCTTTTACTTGCGTTTGATTTTTGCTTGACGTATGCTTTTTAGCACAATGCCAATAAAAGGAACACATTCAAATTATGTTTGATGGATTAACATATACTAATTGTAGAACTTGCACGCACTTCCTCAAATACGCGAAAATACTATTCTACTTCTCAAATGTTCAAATCATCGATATTGAAGTGATAAAATTTTGCAAGTGTGTGAAGTATATAATTAATCAATAATAGTGGAAAAATTATTTCCAAGATTCATAATTCTACCCAGTTCGCACTCCATTGATTTTTTCAGCACTCGATCCTTTAAACCATTTTTTTTTATCAAATTTGGCAAACAGCACCCCATCATATTACTTCATCTATAATTGTAAGAAAATGCTCAAAGTGTTTACTCTGTATTCGCTAAAGAACGCTCTCCTTAAGATACACGGAAAAAACGAGCTTAGGGTTGAGACCTACATGTTAGTGCTGGGCACTAACGAGGGTTAGGTCAAATGGAGCCAGCAAGTCAGAGGAGTGCTGGGCACTAAACAGCTCGAGGCTGGGTCACTAAGGAAGAAGTAGTGTCAAGCCCTATAGTGACTTCGGAGCGAGCGTAAAATATGAAACGCCTCCGCCTGGGATCGAACTCGAGTTGCGCCGGTGGAAGACCAGCGCGTTACCACTAGGCTATGGTGACTCCGATGTCCCATGGGTGCATTTACACCTGTTAAGCGCAACTACGTCTCGCGGCATCTGATTAGCACTACTCATGTTCAGTGCCCACCTGTACTGCCTCCCGGTGGTGAGCTGTACAGCGCTTAGACGCCAGCCCTCAACTACTCCCCACTAAACGGCCAGTAGTGCTCAACACTAGTCTTGTTTTTTCCGTGTATAATTGATAGCATTTTGACAACACGCGCGAGAACATGTAATTACAAGAAAATAATAACACGTATGAACAATTATTTAAACTGATGGCGGAAAGAAATAGCCGTTCTAAAGAACCGAGCGGAGTCAATTTGATAGCATTCATATCAGAGCAGTTATTTTAATAAGCTGTGACGGGGAATTTAAATGATCCGATTTCAAAATAAAATGACTGGTTCAATCGTGACAGCACGCAGCTAAGTGTATTCGTCTTTACACACACTAGGTCAAATAAAAAAGTAAGTAAATAACAGTTCATCGCCACGTTTTTCTGTTTCAAAGATATGCCCCCATTGAAGGTTTCTATAATATAAGCGTTGGCAATCAAGATTTTAAGCTAAGAGGAGCTATGTTTCACGCAAACCATAAGCACTTTTCTCACCCAGTTCCTTTTAGTAGTCCAATTGGAGGGATTCGACAAGAACAACGTAACCGCAATTAACAATGCCAAATTTCTTCACATAATATATTTTCCAAGAGAGAACTAAACGAAGTAACGCCTCAAAACCTTCTTCGAATTTTCATTAGATTATGATACTTAACGCATTGCGCCAAACAGTGCGGTCGGCATCAAACGCATATTAGCGCCTACAGGGCTTCATGAATACTTCTCGCATTGCACCAAATGCAATGGAGTCCTGGATTTGTAATTGTATAATTTGCAATGTAAATTGTTCAATCCCTGGTGAGAAATAAAAAAGAGAAGAAATCAGGCAACGTTTGATGTAGTTAGGATGATTCTTAATATAGTTTCGGTACTCTCTGATTCAAGAGAGGTTTTTATCGCAGAGTGGAATGTGAATGTGATGTGCTTCATAGAAAAACGTACGAAACATTAGGTTTTGATGCCAGTATAAAATAGCTCAACATCAGAAATTGCGACACGAGCATTAGATTACCTCTCCACGAATGATTATAAATCTCTAATAAATCTGCTTTGCAAAATGGATCGTAAAAGGCTCA